TTCGACATAGCGCAAAAAATCTACAAATAAACCAAAAGCAGAAAATGTGATAACGGGCACTGTTGTCTAGGCAAGCGAACAGAACACAATGAGAGTCGTTGCGCGCGCAGCGCACGGGAACGCAGGAGGCGCGGGAACGCAGGAGGCGCGGGATCACAGGAGGCGCGACAGCGCCCGATTCACCGCCGTTTTTATTTTTGGCGGTATTTTAAAATCTGTTGTCAAGGTAGGTGCGGGAGCACAACTACATAGTTTCCATCCGGACGAGACAAAGGGCATAATTAGGATCGGACTTCACTGGTAAGTTCGTCCAATCTAACAATTAAACGTATAAGATACTTGATATGACTTTTATAATAACGATGAGAGAAGCAATAATGTAGGTACATCTATATTCTAATGATCTGTCGTATAAACATTGTACGCACATCTAAGATTCAATTTGATCTCGATAGTCAACATCAGTAATATTATAATATATATCCAATAGGCATCATTTAAGCATCTTCATGTATGCATACATCGTTGTATTAAAATAAATTTTACGCATGCAAGTAAATTAATATAAAAAAAAGAGAATAAAAATTGTTAAATAAAAATGGATTTCTAGGTAAAGGTTATAATATAATACATAAGTATACAAATTTGAAAATTTTAAAGAAAAACACAAATTACATCAGTTACATTGATTTATTGGTGATATATACAAGACTTCAAATAATTAAAGTGAATAACAAGAATATTCAGTGACATGCCTTCAGCAGCAATGGTGGATAGTATTGCAATAAATAGTTCAGGCTATACTGGGTTGATTTTGACTTCTAAGATTTTTATCTGATTATTTTACATTTTCATCTCAGTTGCATCCAAAAATCGTCACACCAATAGGAGTAGCTGCTTCCACTGAGGTCGATTAAGGTCGTGCATACACCTGAACGACGAAGTTAATGCCGTGACTCCTCTGGCTCTTGAACTTCATGGTAACGTTGTTGTGTCCAGGTCCACCATTCAGAATACTAACGTACGCGCCGTTTCCATTCGTCTTCTGGCCCAATGCTTCAACCATAGTAATACGTTCGTACGCTGCTGCATAGAAGGTCTTCTCAACAGTCACAACTCTCAGCCAGCTAAAATCCTTGATGATGTTCTCTCTGAGGACGACCCTATCGCCGGGCACCCTGGAGCCAACGACTAAATAGTGTGACTTATCAGCATAGGTGTCGAGAGCTCCATTAGCGGGTACAGAGTTGACGGTTAACAGAACGGCGAGCAGAACAGTCAGGCCGATTATGTATTTGTACGCCGTCATCTTGGCTTATGTCGCACTTAAAAACTGCGTTGCTATTACTGCTGGAGGACTACTCGAAGTCTGATGATATTTCGGGCGATCCGCGTTTAAATACGAAGAAAATTGACGAAGTGCAAATATCTTCGTACACAAACATTAATGAATATTTACTTGCAATCTAGTTGATTGCTCTCATTGTTTTCTTTTTATCAGAAAATTGACGAAGAAAATTGACGAAGTGCAAATATCTTCGTACACAAACATTAATGAATATTTACTTGCAATCTAGTTGATTGCTCTCATTGTTTTCTTTTTATCAGAGCAATGAGTTTTTATATAAAAAAAATATAACAGTATTAATACCACAATATTCTTTTCACGATAGATAATTTTATGGATGTTTATAAGTACGATATACTTTTTAATGAATATTAGGTAATAGAGAGAATTTTAGACGCACATTGCAGTTGTTACTTACGACCGATATTCTGTCACCATGCATTCGCCAATTGACTTAATGATCCGAGTGAATCTATTCTCGATGCAGAACCTAAGTGCACACACGAGGTAACATATTGGATGTTCACACGGTTAACAAGCATCTGAGCAAACAATCTCCAACAGCCTTGACAAAGCAACTGTGACCCTTGCAATTGGGCAGATTCACTATTTGGGAAATCGCAAAAGATCAAAATGCGTTATTAAGATCTTATTGTTAGATTATATACTTTTTCATCGCACAAAATGAAACGTAAAATGCAAATTTGTTAAAAAGAGATTAACGTCAACAAGTATTACAGCTTATAATACGCGTATAATTACTTTTTATATTTATTTATTTTCTAATTGTAAAATACAAAAATAAAATATGTACTGTTATTTGCTTATTGCAATTTTTATATAGAAATCCATTTTTATTCAGCAATTTGCACTCTCTCTTTATATATAAATATATTTACACGCGTAAAATTTATTTTAATAAACAATATATGCACATATATGAAAATGCTTAAGTGACTATTGGATGTATAATATTATCAATGTTGACTATCGAGACTACACTTCTGTTATCTATCGTGAAAAGAATATTGTGGTATTAATACTGTTATATTTTTTTTATATAAAAACTCATTGCTCTGATAAAAAGAAAACAATGAGAGCAATCAACTAGATTGCAAGTAAATATTCATTAATGTTTGTGTACGAAGATATTTGCACTTCGTCAATTTACACTTCTGTTAGAAATACGGGTTTATACTGGGAAATAAAATACCAGTTATTACGTGGGTAAATCCATTTAAATAATATCGAATTTTTTTGCGGATGATTCGAGAGAGCAGCTTATTTGGTGTGAATACACAGTCAGATAAAATTCGCGACGCTTCGATAAACTTTTAAAACTTGTATGATTCACAGACGGTCGCCTGAATTAAGTAGCTCAAAAAAGATGTTTGATTAACGACGGAGATGTTTGTACGGTTGTCAATAATCGGATTATTAAAAAGAATAATGCGAGCGTCGTTTTATCTGATCATTCTTATTTAGAGTTTCACTCGCTAAGCAACTTTCAAATGAACTGCTTGCAAATATATGTTTCACGTACGTTCCACTAACGTATACAGGTATCTCCCGTCTCCGCCTAACGTTAATTTACTGCAAACCACGTCCTGCTGCCCGTGAATGGGACCGGGGATGCTAGGAAACAGTCCGATGGGCAATGAATGCGAGCTTTACTCTCTCGCATCTCCTTCTCGCTCTCCGCGTTTTGGCATATGAAAGTTGGCCTACGAGAGACTCTCTTTCTCTCTTTCCTTCCCTCCCTTTCTCGCTGTTTTTTTTTCTTTTTTTCTTCTCTCGTCTCTGCGCGTAGCTCTCGTTTCTTTCTTAATCCTCGACACGCGAACGCGTGTGCATGTACATGCCTGTCGCGTATACTTGTGCACTCGCACAGATGAACGATATAAGCGGATAATACCGAGGCGGTGCGCCCTGGCGACTTCACCTTCCTTTCTACGTATAGGTACGCTCGGACGCCGGGATGCACTCGCATTATTCATTCGGCGTCCTTACCCTGCGATCGCGGGACCGACCCGATCCCCGTGGCACCTGTCTTTGATGGTGGCAGGCGCGAGACGCGGTTTGCTCGCGCAGTCCGCCTATCACCGCACTGTACGATGCGCTTGCCATTAATTATCTGGCTATATGCTTCGGAGATCCGAGGCAAAAGCCGACTTCGGTCGTCTTAACGAGCCACAGAACGCTCCGCCGATCGGGAATCGATACTAACGGTGCAGGGTGCAGTATTGAACTCTTCAACTAGCATTAAAGGTTTACGGATTGGGTTTACAGATTTTGTATCGTTTGGGCGATTAATTTAAGGAAATGTTCTCTTGAAAGAAACTTTATTATAAAACATGTTTAATTACAATTTCCTTATACATTAAACTATATGTGTTTGAAAATTATAAATAAAAAATAAACTAGCTTTATTTGATATTTAATAAATGACAAAATTATTATTGTACATGAATATACTTTCGATACCAAACAATATCCATATGTAAATATTGATAAATATCGTGTTATTATAATTATCGTTTATTATAATGTAATATATATTTAGTGTTTATTTAAGACAGATCGAGAAGTCTCATAAAGTTTTCATAAAGAGTTATATTAATATTATCAAATATTATCTAAAAGGAGACAAAGGGCTAACCGATAATACAATGCGGAAGGGAGATAAGGGAGTGTGAACGGTAGGAAGGTCAGTCGTTAGGACAATTAGGCGAACAGAAAAGTTCCATTGCAACCGTATACCTTATTGGCCATTGTTACAAGAATCGGAGTGACAGTTACTAGTTTTCTCCATTATTCAATGCCGTCCGCTAATTCACACAAATTAGCATATACGCGTCTGGAGAGGGGAGGAAAAGAGGGCTGAATTTTATATTTGCCCGTCGAAAAATCCGCGGCAATAAAACTGCTGTCATCGCTTCTTTGCGCCATCAGGCCAGTACGTGTCCCTAAATACTTGATAATAAAGTACTTCAAATCAGTTTAGATAAAGAGGTGTAAATTCGCTTTTTCCAAAAGCTTAATCTACTCAACGATAAGAATAATCGAAAAGAGTTCTTAGTAAGAGGAGACAAACAACAAATTATTATCTCTCTTCGTTAATTACTGATGAACAACATTGATCTGGCATTGTTATCATCGATATACAAAAAAATTACGCGAACCGAATTATATCACGGTGTTTGGGTCGTCCATTTCGGACTCTCATCTATCAATATAATCCTTCATATCGGATAAGCTTATTTAACTCATTTTTATTCTCTATTTTTTTACGTTGCGATTGTAATTATTCTACATATAAACGAAATGGGGCATGTTTAAAGTAATAAATCCGATTAAAATGACAATAGATTTATGACAATCCATTACATATATCGATGAATCGACAGATTATAAAGACGACCCGGGTGCATTAGACGCGCAGTTTCATGGCAACGACCTTAATCCGTAACGCATGTGTATTCGAAGCCTAACACGAGCGCGTCATAAATCTATTATTCGCTGATATGTTACGAAGAGAAATCGGGCTTACGATAGTTTTGGTTTATGAAATTCTGATCACTCTTCTGCGAATAGCGGTTACACCGCACATTGTACATCTATCCCTATTGCCGCGCAATAAAGTTAAGTATAATAATCGGTTGAGAGCCGATTACAAATCGAAACTTCTGCACGTCGAATCCACTGCCGAGTCGCAATTATTAAACTTGCTTCTGTCTGCAGTCCGTCGTCTTTTACGCGCATATGCCGTTGTGCTCGTTTCTTCCTTTGTCTTTCCCTAGAATGAAATTGTCCTCCATCTTTCTGTACTTTTTAACGAGAATTAAATGGTGAGAGGGAGCAAGATTTGAAAGATCTTCGAGTGACGCGTGAGATGTTGTCAAACCTTCGGTAACTGCTCGAATTTCGTGCCAATCAGGCACGATAGGAAAGACGCAATTTTTCTCTCCGCGCTTTCGTTAAGGCGTTATAAAGTTTTAAGAGGCTTCCAATTTAATCGAAAACTTGAAATTTCTGAAGGTCTAGACTATAATAATATTAAAATCAGACAAAGTCTGAATGGCGCATTAGAAAAGAAATCCATTTTGTTTCAATGTGACATAACGATTTTATATCTATTGCATATTAAATACAATAAATTTGTAAAAGTATGAAAGAGCACACTTAATAATGTCCAGCGTATCAAAAAAATCGAAGGAATAAATTAAATAAGAATAAGGATCGACGTTACCTAAAAACGTTAATGACAACTTCCTGATTAGATTAATGATTAATAAGCTGGCGGTATGATATTTCCTGTCTCAAAAATTAAAGTTTATCCGATCCGGCGTCGATATTCTCTCACACCTGACGCCGAAATTATCCGTTAGAAACTGTTAAATTCGATTTAACGTTTTTAATGGACAGTAAAGAATTAAAACTCGAAAATTCGATTCGCCGCGTCAAAAGCGTGAATTACGGCGGGCGCGCGGAGAGCTTTTAAAGTTGAAATTCTTGATAGCGCCTTGGCAACTGCCCGGACTAATCCGCAGGAAAGCTCAAGGTGCAACGATGCCCCTTTTAGAAGGGTGCACTGCACGTGCGCCGCCGTAAAGTCGTCGAACGACGTCCCGGTGGCCCTTCGTGGGCGCGAGTAATCCTCGTAGATTGGCGCGGCACAATAATTCGTCTCGTATCGGCCTCATGGGGCTGAACTCGGGGTGTTAAACGAGCGATATTTTTTCTCCGGGAATACCAGCATCGGTCGCCGCTGCACCTGTCCTGCGATCTATCTAGCGAGAGGAGTTTCGTTGCCAGTTTAGTGCAGCTTCCTTCCCATTCCCCGGCTTAATCCTGCAAATGCGTTAATCGCGCGGTCCTCTCTCGGCGCGCGTGTGCTCGAAACGATACAAAGACCGTCGCGAATTATTAACGTCACATTAAGGCGAAACGAATCGCGTTAGCGATATGAAAGATCATGAATTAATATTGACACTTTTGATAATAAATATATTTTATTGACTTAATTTAATTACTCTTTAATATAATTTTTCTCCGCTTTATCGATCGCTTCTTCGTCGCTTTTGTTTGTCATAATCCATTCATCCGATAATGCTTCCGGAGTGATTTTCGTCGACGCGATTCGATTGCTACAACAAGGCCCTTGTGTCCGTGCTATCGCAGGTCAATGCTGATATTTTTCTTTACATCCTTTATACGTCGCTGCTTTAATACACCGTTAAAACGAACAGCCGCGGCGCGGCTGTAGTAAAAAACCGCAGTAAATCGATGTATCGTTGCGAGAACGACACCCAAGGCGTACGAGAGGATGAGCTATAGAGCCGGCGGACGCGTCGCGACGCGACGTCCGAGTGTCGGCGCTAGCGCGACGCTTATCTCGGCGCGAATGGTGTCTTTTCCGGCGCGCAAGTGTCGCAAGTGACGGAGGAGAACTTGAGAAACGTTTATACCGTGTGCACCTGACATCACACACTCGGGGATCTTGATTGTAAAATATCCGCGACGTGGACGCGGCTCTTTATACAAACGTCTAGTTTGCGCGACAGATTTCCGTACGTACGTATATACGTAGAGTTAATGATACATATCATAACAGAGGATCCCGTTTACATTCGCATGGTGGATGTTCAAATATTTAACAGCGCTCGTGTATTTACTCAGACACGTTGCATTGTTGGTATAACACTCTGCGGCTGCGTTTGGCTCTTTGACAAAACGATCCCGTCCGGGAACTCTTTTATTGTACAATCCGCCAATTGCCAAAAGATAACGTCATTGAAATCCAGGCACGTATCCAGCATTTCATGGGGAGAGAATGAGACGTAAATGCGAGAATAAAGATTCAAGTTTTTAACTTTTCCTTGCTCGGAATCGATTATGTGTAGGTAATGTGCGTTTGTATGATACGATATATTCCATTTTGAAGTTAAGATTTTTTTCTAATTTAAGCGAAAAAATTTTATAAAGAATAAAAATAATGTAGTCACAAGAAAGTAAAATTAATAAATTTGAGAGAACGTTACAAGTAAATATAGTATTGTATAAGAATATATAATTAAACTGGATAAAAAATATGATTTTTTCGACATTTATCGATATATTTTTAATTTCATAATTTTTTGTTAAATATAACGACGAGAGAGTAACTTCGTTTCCGAAATCGGATGCTGTAGCACGTGATGCGCCTAATGGAACATGGAAATGCATGAATAACTGTACACGAATAACTGCACGTTTTTTATCGCGAAAAATGTCGAAAAATACGTCGCTGTACCACGGTTAGATATTAATCCGATGTGTCGTGAGATATATGTATTGTACATGACTCATTGCGCTACGCGGATTGTTTCCCGTATTGGCGAGAGTAATCCGCTCTATGAGACGGGCGTGTAACATCGATTAGATGAGCTCGGAGCTACGAAAAAAAATCGAGATCTCCTAACGAAAGGAGCTCACCAGCTGCTTAATTAAAGACATCTATACTCGGACAAAATCTTCGTCGTTCCGCTCTTCCGGAAGAGATGGCAGATACGCGCAAGAAACAACGGCACGGTAAACACGGAATAGCCGTGAACGGAGGAAGGTGACAAGATACTCGGAGGTAAGCGTAAACATTTCCCAGTACAATTAGGAAGCGTTTGTCCGCCTGTGTTTGTCGAAGGATCAGTAACCAGCTTGGGTAACGCCTAACTATCTGTCACCGGGCGGCCGAGTGACGATTGCTCGGTCATGCGGAGAATTTACGGATGGTTTATGACGCACGGTAAGGGGATAGCAGAAACACGACATAATAAGAGAAATCGATAATGCCACGTGACGATTCGTTTCGCTGGCAAGATATTTCGTTGTTTATTTTTATGACGTTACGTAATTTACCATGAACGACTTTCAATTTTATCTCGCGAATGTTATCATCAAAATCAGTCTTTATTAGATAACTATTACGGGCTGTAATCGCAATCACGTGTAGAGATCTACATAATTTAATATTCGAAACTATATATTGTAGTAGAGATTATATGATTATATCCCCCCTTCCTCCCTTGGGAGAAGGTAGGATATATCTCACAATTGATAGCGGTAGATTGATGCTCTTATTTAATCAGAATGTATGACGGTCATTCGATACTGTATATGAACGATGATTGTTTCCGCGAAACATCGCTCGAAGAAAGCTTCCGTTCTAAAGAAAATATTCAGGAACTTTCCTGTTCTCTTCTGTTGTATCATGCAGTCTCACGGGCAGTTACGATAATCAATTTTTGCAATCAAATCGACGATAAAAAATATTTATAGCAGTAACTAGATATATATTTCTCTTTGTATTTTAAGGTCAAAGAATATCTTAGAAATTAAATTTTTAACTTTGCTAAAAGTAATGTTATAATTTTTTCATTGGGTATTATATTGTTGTGCGTACTGAATTATCTTAACGATCGATCTGCGTGGCTTTTCGCGATATACAAGGATCAGAGACATCGGGTCGACCAATCGCAGCGGTGACCAGGGGTAGATTATACTATCACGAGTTGTGTCAGTGCCGGAATTAAGTTATTAGCGTACGGACTCGGGGACCCCTGGAATCGCGGAGGAGTTCGGCTCGACGTACGGTAATTTGATATCGGATAAACGTTCCTGTCGTCGGCACGACCGACGTGGGCCTCTGAAGGCACACGCACGTCGAGCCTGGTTGCACGTCCAGCGGAAAGCGCATTAACCCGCGAAAAGGACGCGTACGCGGACGGGAAATGCTCGGCCGGATTTATCTGCCGACTCGTCGTCGCTCTCTCCCCCCTCGATAAAAGCCCGGCGACTAAAAGTCAGAATTTTTTATAGCCGCTCTAGATAAACTCCCCGCGGAATGGCATTCGCGGAAATTTAATTACTTACCGCGGGGCAGATTAACGCCGATGCGAAATCTAGATAATGTATTTAGGAAAAGTTGATATCGCGCCGGGGAGCGACTGAAATATACGATGATAATTACGAGGACGGGAGTGACGCCGCCATCTCCGTTATTATTTCCAGTTGGCAGCTTCGGTGATCCCGATTATACTCGAGGTACCTGTTAGAAGTAGAACAAAAAGACTCGCCAATATTTAATTTCATAAGTATTTTACAATTTATCATCCGTAATTGGTTTATTTTCTTTTTCCGGAAGGTTCATTTCAAGTTCAGCGCCAGCGGAAAATGCAGTTTTCAAAGAGATTGCAGATTATCTGCGCGACATTGCATAAAAGGACTCGTGGAGAAAAACTTAATTTAGCTCAGTCGTTGTCAGCACGTGAATAGGCGAACGAACGTGTGCGCGCGCGCCAATGTGCAGGTAATCATTCTATCTGTCCGTTCGCAGTTAATACAAATTTCTGAGGAAATCCCTGTTAATCGGCCGACTCATTTTATAATCTGCAGACCTTATGGTCTGTCGCCATTATCGAGAGAGAAAGAGAGAGAGAGAGAGAGAGAAACAGTTAATGATGGCAAAAATCTTTCACAAATCGGACGAGACAGGAAATCAAGAGACACGCTCTCGCTTGATTTTCTTCGTGCCTTATTATTTTCTGTAGTCCCTAACTTTTAATCGATTAAGAGTTCAATCTACCTTTTTTTTTGTTTCCTCGAATATGATTAAATGAAATTGGATGTTCGTCCGAGCTGTGTCTCCGATAGCGAATACGAAATTCGGGATTGATCGTTCGAATCGCGTTCTTCTTTTCAATAATAACTGATTTTTTTCCTGAGAAAATTGCTCTTCAGACAGATTGATATAAAATCTCGTAATCTAACTGATAAGAATATTACAGTATTTTAACGTTTAAATCTCATCTAAAATTAATAGTTAATAACGGTGGAAAAAAAAACTTGCAAATTGTGCAAGACGGAGGTCGGAGAGTGACGTCGAGACGTCTTCCACACTCTTTTTGCAATATAGCGTACGTTATTTTGTCAAAGCCGAGAAGATGAGCGAGCTCCCTCGTAACCGGCAAATTGCTTTAAATGCCAAATTGAAATTTCTTAGCACCGCGTAAGCTTACATTAGCTGCTCGGTCCCGTTGCCTGAATACCTGAGAAGTATGGCGCGTCACTTAGCTGCAATACGGCTGGTACTCTAGGCTCGGAAGCCGAAACTGAGAGCCGGTCACGTAATTCCTCGCCGGCAAACTTGCCGCATTATCCGTTGCATTACGTTCGGCAGCCAGAGGCGTTAGCTTCCAGCCGGCGGACATTAGGTTTATGCAAGCTAAGAGAGTCGACAAGAAGCACGCAACGATCTAAATCAACAGCGACATGTTTACAGCGGGAAGTCGCACAGTTTACGATATGCATTTCAAAAGAGACATACATTGGCATTGGCTTATCTTAACGTTATTTTCGCATAAATTGGTAAAAAATACAAATTGCCAATAAAATCGAAACTTCAATATGCGATAAATAGAAGAAACTAAATTGTTAAACGCATTAAGTACCAATAATAGCGATGTACCCACATCCATCAAGTCAAAAGTAAAAAAAGCTTTAAGATTCATTGCTATTACGAATAGTAATTTATAAAATGATGATGTTCAAATATATCGATAAAAGCTATTTTGGATATAATAAAAAACGGATCTTTCTAAAGAGATTGACTTGATATTAAACAGAATAATTATAATTCACCCCTTTCTTAATTTAAATACAATTCCTATCGTAATGTGAATCAGAAAACGAATACGTAAATAGTCGAAGGATATTTTGTTACCGCTTTAAGACGGTATTTTTATTATACTTTCAAATTGCATCCGATTCTCATTTCCACGGCGCAGCAATGAGGAACAGATACATCATGTCGTATCGGAGGAAGCCATCAATGCTGGAACCAGGAAGCCGTCCGAAGTTCTCTAACGATGATATATCGGGGTAGCACAGGACCCCTAAGTTGTGGCCATTTTGATATGGTGTAACGTACTCCTTCCCCATTCCCCCACACGCGCAACTCTTTCTTGCGCTATCCAGGAGAGGCATTAAGCCCTTTCCAACCCCTTTGGAGTTACTGTTACCGTGACCGTGACAGATCGCCCGTCATAATCCGGCACCATGAAAAACATATCGACGATCGAATAGCCGTTCCAAAAGTGGTGCGTCCCATTTTTCCAGCCAAATGTCCGGCTCGCATTACGCTCCTGAGATAACGCTCCTGAGATCTTTATGATAAAGCTATCGTGCACGCACGTGTGTGTGTGTGTGTGTGTGATTGATTTGCTTCTCTTCATTAAGATATAAATAGAAAAAAATGTGAACATCTTTTTAATGTTAAAACAGATAAGCAAAAACTGTTATCGTGCGATAGGATATCATAAGAAAAAAATATATCTATCTTACTACAAGATATTGATTTGAAAGATTTTTCTAATATTCTCTTGGGCGTATTTCTGGTATTTTACGAATTCATGTAATACTAAAATAAAATCTCATTATAATAGCTGAAAATTAGCATAATCGCGCACGTCGATTTGAATCTGTGCTGGGGGGTTTGAAAAAGGTGACGCATTACGGTAGGAAAGTCGAGATCCGCGTTCCCGTTGCACGGCAATTTTTTCGCAAAAGTTGTACGATGGTGGGTCAACGGGGGGAGCTGTCAGGTTAGATTTAGTTTTCACAACGTTCGTCTATACTTTTGTGGAAGAGAGCACTTTCGTACGGTGATTTGCGACACTCTATCTCGGCGTCCTTTTACGCTGTCGCTCTTAGTTGGCGGAAATGTATGGTACATTACAATTCATCTCCGACTTCATCGCCGTCGGTCGACAGGAATTTGCTGCGTAACGTCTTTCAGCTGCCCGACCGTTTAATCCGTAATGGAACAAAACATCGCGCCACCAGGTATTCCGCTCATATTTCACTCGTCCTTCCACGTTAATGAAGCGCGATGTACCAGCATTTTCTTAATTATTTTTCTTACAGCGAAACGATAAACTTAATTGACATTGAACAGCTAAGGCATTAAAAGGGATTAAAATCGTTTATTTAATAAATTTCAAGTTTTTTTTTACAAAAACTTTTACAAAGATTTCTTTGTCGCCAATAAATAATTTCGCTCTAGGAGAGAGTTCTTTCCAAGCAAGAATCATGTATTGACAGAAGAGTCATTCTGGTTTTTCTCGCTGAATATCGAACAAAGGCAGAATGACTTCTGCATGTATATCGATATGTGTCTTCTGCCGGAAAGCTCTGTACGTTTCGATGTGACAGAAAGATTAGTAAAGTATCTATCTCGATGCTCAAGTACCTTAGAAATAGACACGTAACATCGATATCGTCGGTTCGATTGTTTATTGATTTATATATATATATATATATATGTATATCCGATAGAGAGGCGTATATATGGCCTTCAGCGATAACGTCGCGTTGATAACTCATAGTTATCACGGAACTCACTGACAAATGATGCAGCTCCGAGAAAATCACCGCGCCGAGATTAATCCACGGCGATTTTGCCCAGCGGAAAGAGAAGGCTCCGGCCGGCCGGTCCCGAGTCTTCCATTTTGGTCTCGTAATTAAATTTATGAGAGTTAACTGTTTCGGACTGTGGCCCCTGCCATGCGACGAGGAAATGCACTCTTGTCCCTCGTATACGCGTAAACGTATAAAATGTGTCCACGTGCGTGCCCGCGCGCGCATGCCGCGCTCGTTCCGAAAAGTTCGCTATTTAACATCGGGCGAACGGACGGCGAGCTCCGCTTATAGCGCTTACAGCTTGACAATTATGCGACGCTCATCAGAGGCCTCGTGTCGCGCTTTCGGCATGATCGATGCGTTTTATATTCTTCCCTCTGCCTGAGATTTACACTTCCCCGAATATCCTCCTGCAGTTTATCCGCGTGATGCACGCATTATTTCTCGCGAGCTACGAATGTGAATCGAGCGGATTAATTGCTTTATGTAACTACGAGCAAATCCGCGAGCTGGCCGATCGCGATTTTGATTTTAAAATCGCACAATTTCCGTACTTGCTTCTTCGTAACTTCCACGCGAGACCTTAAGCTTCGTTTTTTTGTCTAGCAAAATTAAAAAATTCAATTATTTATAATACTAATGAAAATGAGCATAAATCTGTCAATCAAAGGAATCAAAGATACAAAATGTGACATAATCTTATTAACATGCATGAAAGAGTTAAGTAAACGTTTGAGTACATTACAACGTATGCAAAATAAACAAATGTAGAATTTCCTATCGCAAGTGCGGCATGTTAGAGTGTTTATCTACACGCGACTTTACGTACGTCAATGTAAATTGTAACGTGCGACGTTCGACGAAATGCTCGCTTTAGAAATGCTATGTGAAAGATGCTAAGAAAATATGTGCGTATAAGAACACAAGAGATTTCAAATTATCCTATTATAACTGTTATGCGATACTGTATATCGTTTTTGGATCGATCATTCTGACTGTCTTTTTCGGACTTTTTTTCTGTTGTAAAATCCGCTATGACAGTTGCGTGTCGGCTAACTTTTTCAAGATTTTTGTTAGGTGAAAATTTTGTGAAAGTTAAACGATATAAAAATTGTAATATTTGTATGTTATGAAACTCGAGAGATAATAGAACATCAGATATCTCGTCTCAAAAACTACAAAAAATGATATCTATTTTACTTTTCCCGAGCACAGCAAAAACAGATCTTTTTGATAACACTTTTCTTTATTTGCTTTCATAATGTACTTTTAATAATTTCTGATGCACTTGATTATTTCGTAACTCAAGATTATGTAATTTTTATTTCTTATTATTTTATTACTTATGTAAATTAAATAGAAGTTGGAAATATTGTGCTTAAGATATGACCTGGCATATTAATAGAATAAATGCAAACAGCATGTGTTTATAGGTAGCTCTCATTCGTTTTTATTTACTTAAATTATACGAACGAGAATATCATATTGTGTATGCATCTTAACACTTGCCCTTCATCATTATGTAGTGCCATGTAATCGATATTGCTGTTGCATCTATATACAAATATCCGTTTAATATTCGAAGCACCATCTCTTACGAAGCTTTAGCAACTAATTGTAATCTTGTCGTCGCAAACAACAATTTTACTAATTTCATATCAGTGGCACTATCTCTTGGCAATCTTAGGAACTAATTGAACATTATCCCGACTGCTAATTTCTGGTATCCGAGTCTCTTTTGACCGACATTAATGCCGGTGAAAATAAATTAACTAATAAATAGCGAATAATTCTCTGCAAAAATAGTAAATATATTTATTAATTTATTATTAGTTATATATATAAAATTATATCGTTTTATATATATTTATACAATATGTATTTTTATATATGTTCTAATTATAAAAAAAATTTTTTACCGGATTTTGGTAAAAAATAGAAGAACTGCTTGTAAATCTTTCTATAATTATAACAAATCTATAAATAATAACATTATATATACATATATTTGTTCGTATTCAGAACGCGCTTATAAATAGTATTTAGCGTATAATTCACATTATTATATATATAGTACAATTTATGTTACATATATTATAGAATCTCAGACATAGAAATGATGGAACGCATTTATTGATAAAAGTGAGGTATATGAATTATATTATGGAATTTTAAATTTGTTGGCGAGCTAACATGTATAGCTTATAAGCAAGTTCTGAATATACGGAATTGATTTTTTCCATTGCATCTATGAATGTCATACGTATTCTATACTTTAAATTTATATTAATATACACATCTGTGCTACATCCCAAATAAAATGTGTGCGTGTCCGTGCTACTATAGAGCTGGTAGGAGCGAAAGATACGTTAACGTGTTACACATACACATTTCATTTGTGATGTAGCACATACTCAAACCACATTAATTTTCAACGTTATGATTTTATCGACAATGTTAGAAAATGAATGTAGCTACGTAATAATAATCATTTAAAAAATGCATTTATTATACTGCAGGTGCTAATGTACGGGGATTCTAACGGTCCCACGTAAATAGCCGCTCTCATAACGCTACAAATGCTTCAAGTGTGTCGACGCGACCACGTCGGAGTTCGACAAGCAAAAGGTTTCCCGCTACGTAGCGTCTCGTTTATATACCGATTCGAGTAGCCAGCGCCGAGCCAATCAGAGCGCTTGGTGGCGGGCGCGAGACATGGTGCACGCCGCGCGCGCGATAGACGGCGGTCCGTTGGCGGCGCTGACTGCTGAGTCCGCAGCAAGTTCGAGGGAGCGTAGCGTCGCGTCTCGCCGCTCGCGCCACCAGCCATGAGCGCGCCCGCACGCCAAGCGGTCTGATTGGCTCGGCGCTGGCTAATCGAATCGGTATATAAGGGGGATGTTACGTAATGAGAGGCCTTTTGCTTATGGGACTCCGACGTGTCGCGTGCAATGCCGCTTTTACTTAAATGACCGCGTCTCGCAAAACTCATGATCAGGACGATGTAGCTGTAATGATGTAATAATATTGGAACTAAAATAAATTGTTCTTGAAACAAATTTTCTTGGTATGCTCCAAAACTAATTTATATATGCATTTATATATGATTTTCAGCTTACGAGAAAAAAGCGTCGCGGCAACGCAATGGCGTGCAATACATTTTGATTTTTAGACGAACGAGTATCGCGAAATACGCGTTCAAACGAAATATTAATGCATACGCGCCTTTTATAATAATTATTATTACGTGCAATAAGCGCGTGTATTAGTTATATATTTAAAATGTGGAAAATGCATAAACGCGAAGATAAAGAGTAGTCGCGCGCCGAGTGCCGACGCGACTACGTCGGAGTCCGACAAGCAAAAGGTCTTCGACAGTGTAGCATTCCGCTTATATACCCAACTCGAGTAGTTAGCGCGCTCCAATCAGAGCGCTTGAGTGCGGGCTACTATATAAACGGCACGTACGCGCGACTGCGAGACATTTCGCATCGAGTAGCGGGTGTGTCACGTCGCGTCACCAGGGACGATCCGACGATGTATGTACAGCTTCAGACAGTTTATGCGCTGGAAAAAATGGATGAGCACGAATGCATTGGGAAAGAAATTTATATCCTGGTACATGTAATCATTGTAATCTATAAATTTATTTTATTTTTCCTATCATTTTGTTAAGTTACAAAAA